TGTGCTCTCTCTCAAATAACTAAACTTTAAAAAAAATAAAATACAAAAATTCAGAAAATAAACGCACAACGCTGGTGTTGTCATCCTGCCCCGGACTGTAGTCACTAGGTGAGAATCCCCTGCCCAGCCATAACCCGGCCCTGAGCTCCTCTAGGGGCTGCAGGGAGGAGGTGTTCCAAAGTTCCCTGAGGCCCCAGCAGCTCGCCCCTTTCTCTGAATTTCTGCGCCCAAGGCAGGTCCTCTGTCCAGTACTGCCTGGAGGCCAGCAGGTGGCGCCCAAAGCCCCGTATGGGCCGCGAGGCGCAGGGGGCCGCGCAGGTACCCGCCGGAGGCAGAGAGCAAGTACCCAGAAAGGGGTGCTTTCCGCGGCCGTGCCTTCCGTCGCCCTCTCCTGCATCGCTAGGTCAGGAGGAGTCGGGTGCGGGAGGAGGGCTGTCGGGTCGGGAGGAGGGCTGTCGGGTCGGGAGGAGTCGGGTGCGGGGGGAGGGCTGACCGGTACAGCTTCCTCCGCTCCTCCAGCTCGTGTTCCCGGCGCTGCCTGAACAGGCCCTAAGGGTCGTCCAGCACCGTGCGGCCTACGCGTGGGGAGGAGGGGTGGGCAGTGAGGCTCCTCCGGAGAGCCTCTCCCCTGCCGGCCCTGCCCGCTGGCCCTGACCCTTCAGCATCTTGCCCTCCCCCAGCCTCCGGCCGGCAGGTGTATCTCCAGCAACCCGCCTCTTCCAGAACCGCCCCGAACCCCGATTTCCAGGTTCCAGCCCGCGCGCCCTGCCCCCTTTCCTCCGCTCCCCCGACCAGGCCTCCTCACACCCCCAGCTCCGCGCTCACCGGTGCCCTCGGGCAGTCTCAGGATGCCAGCACCCTCCACCCAGCGGTAGCGCGGGAACCTGAACTCGTCCCCACTGGCCCCGGGGCCCTGCACGTCCGCCTGAAACTCCACTTCCTGCGGGCGACAGGGGCTCAGCCACCGCGGGGCTCCCCAGAAGCAGCCCCGGGACTGAGCCCTGCCCGCGCCGGACGCCCTTCCGAGGGCCTCTGGGAAAGGCGCGCGAAAGGAGCCGCACAGCCAAGGAGGCGCGCACGGAGCAGGTGGCCCCACGACCCCATGCGGGTCGGGGTGAGGCGGAAGAGACGAGACGGGGAGGTGCACCCCCTCCTCACTTCTTCCTCCCTGTAGTCACCGCGCCACGCGCCGCGCCCCGAGGGAGCGCCCCCGGGCGCGGGGACCCCGGAGCAGAACGGCAGGGGCGCCCTCGCCAGCGCCCCCAGGATGCAGCGGGCAGTCCCCGGCCCTGGCAGGCCTTCCGCACGACGTGCCACCTAGAGAGACCCCTCCAGGGGGCGGCGCTGGTTCGGGCCGCGCGGGAGAGGGAGAGGCGGGGAGGCGTGCCGCGCAGGGGTACCGGGAGACGGGGCCGAAGCGAGCCGAGCCGCGTCCTGGAGCTGGGGCTCAGGGCAGGGCTGTAGGGAGAGGGGCACGACCACACCGTGCAGCCTCGAGGGTAAGCCACGGGCGTTGGGCTGGTCCCGAGGACAC